TTTCCATTTCTGCGGTGGTGGCCCACTGCGAACTATCAAGGATTCCACATTTTGAACAACCCAGTTTGGGGAGGGTGTTAACAGTGTCGACCCAATATTGCGAGCGACCGACAAAATGTTTGGTATTCGATTGTTTTTTGGAGGAGTTTTGACACATAAACCAATAGGCGACTGATGTTTTTACACGAAAGCTTGTTGTGTTCCGTGTGAATCCTTTGAAATAATTCGTGATCCTTAATTCATGATGGTGATGGTGGTTTCCGAACTCCCTTATTGCAGTGGTGGCCCACTGCGCATTACCGATTCAAGTTTAAAGGGTTCCGACAGATTTCACCCAACATTGCGAGCAACCGACAAAATGATTGGTATTCGCCTGTTGGGAATGTTAACATATACCAAAATAGGGGACTGCTCTTCATTACAGCTGATAGCTTGGTCTGTTCCGTAAAGACTTAGACTAAGCTGCTAACTCGGCTAAGACTTCTTGAAACCTTTGGACCCTTGATCATAGACTGTGGACCACCCTTAGCCTCTAAGCCTAAGCCTAAGCCTTAGACCTCAAGACCACAGCGCGCAGGGCGGGCCGACGACCCGGCGCGCCGGGCTGTAGGCTATTCCTGTCCAGTCCTTGTACAAACATCTGCCGGGATCGTTACGCCTGTAACAGAGAAGTGACCCATTATCCGCTGCCTCTCTCTCTCACCGCACCAAGCCATAGAATAGAGGCTTGGAGGTCATCTTTCTTCCTTCTCTCCGTCTCCTCCCTTTCATTGACGGAGAGAATCCTGAAGGTAACAAATAATCCTGGAAATCGAGGGAGATGTCGTAAGTTGTCTTTATGAGAATGCTTTTCCTTTTCTTTCCTATTCACTCGATTCAACGATTTTATAATTGAAGCCCTTAGATTCTAAACTCTAGACATTCTACCTCATGGCCCCGGCGCGCCGGGCGCCGGTGCCCGGCGCGCCGGGCGCCGGCGCGGTTTGCGGCCCGGCGCGCCGAGCGCTAGACTCGTCCGCGTTGCGACAAACTTTCGACGCAGAGAATGCGCCCTGAGCCTATGTGCTAGACTACGATTAAATAACGTTGAGCCATGTGTTGCCATGTATCGTAGACTATGGACTGTCGTGCTTTGAGTGTAAGGTCGTTAAGGCATGAGTGAAATGAAACTATCTTACGCTTTAAAGAAGACTCCATTAACGCGCAATTCGAATGCGAGGACTTGACCTCCATCCAATCTCCATCTCCGCCCCGCTGTCCATCCTGCGGAACAGGCTGCTCCGCAGAAGAGCCACAGCAGAGGCGGTGCCTTGTCCATTGGGCCACTGGTGCAGCCATGCAACAGTGTTCCCCAAAAAGCGCTCCACTTTTCATGCGACTTTTTTAAGCGCATCCGAAAGGCAATCCAATAGAGGGGAGGAAAGACTGGATGTCAGATCTCTTTTAAACTTCAAACTTGAAACTACTCTCACATCTTGCACCTCAGGACCCCACAGCCCGGCGCGCCGGGCTGCAGACTAGTTCGTGCTTCGATACACGTTCGCAGCACACAGTACGCATGAAATTATTTATAGGTTGTAATATCTTATTCAACTGTATCCGATAAAGCGCAATTACTTAATATTGATATATATATATATAATCGAAATTATAAACGTATATATATATATATGTATATTCCGTGTGCTGTGGAGTGTCGTGTAGACCCCGGCGCGCGCCGGGTGCTGGCGGAGCTTGCGTACCGGCGCGCTGGGCGATAGATTGCATGCGTTTTGTTAAAACGCCCGCGGTACCATGTATTAAGAGTATTGTTAGCCCACGATTATAAAATGTTGAACCAGATATTGTATATAATCGAATTGTCGTGGTTCAAGCGTTCAAGCGTTGGCAGATTGCGGCCCGGCGCGCCGGGCGCTGGACTTGTATGTGCTTCGTTTATAAAACTACTCGTTTCTGAAGCGTTAGAGTTCAAGCGATTTTACACTCTAGACTCTAGACTCTATTTTGTATTTATAAGTTATAAGTTATACTATACTATACATATAAGTTTTAGGTGTAAAGTTATACATAAGGATCCGGGCCCGGCGCGCCGGGCTCTAGATCTTTCCCACCTCTTACTAAATTGCAGTATTATTGTTGCCAAGTGTCTAAGAGTTTCCGTGAGTTGCGCTGAGTGTTGCTTTAAATCATTTCCTTTGTTGGCACCGAGGTGACCGAGGCGGGTGGCTGGCTGGTGCTTGTGATGTTGCAACGGCCACTGCAGCACGTGCTTATTTGATTTTGACTTGACTTGTGTGTGTGATAGTCATATATCATAAATATGCGCAGGTTACATGTGAGGTCGTTGAACAGCTGATTGGATCTTCTGAGGGTTCAAGCGCCATTCATTCGTACATCAACCAGCTTTTTTCTGGCATTTTTGACAGCCTTTGAGGTTCTTTGTCCTGTAGGCAGGCAAACAGGGCGAATGGACACTGACACTGACATGTTGACTGGACGTTTGTCATTTGCATGTCATCATGTTCATGTAAAATGTAGTTTCAGACTACGCTTTGCTTGCTCTCCACTTGTGCTTCAACCTGTGGAAGCCATGAGGTCAGTGCCTCATTTTCATTTGCAGACTGCTGGCCCTAGTCGCACCACCTCGCCAAGCTAAGGTGATTCCTAAAATGACGTGATTGTCAGATTGTTGTTGAGCCACGTATGGACGGGCCCAACGTCCATGATGTAGTTTTCTGAGTTTCAGTCTATCAGTCTGTGAGTCCATGAGTCCACGGGCAGTATCAGTATAGACAACGATAGACATAGACAGTCTATGATGGAGTCTTATACGAGTTCTTGATGCATGCTTGATTGCTGCCTGCTTGCCTGCTGAGGCAAGATCGCGGTCTCAGGCAGCACTTTGGTTGGCGTGCTCCGCAATCCCAAGCACGGCGAGCCCCCGGGCACCACTCGGATCGAGGACTTTCGCCGCAGCTTCGGGAGCAAGGTCACCAACCGCAAGGACGCCAGCCGCAAGGCAAACGCAAGGCTGCCGATGAGTGGGACGACTTTTTCGACTTCGGCATCACTGTCAAGACTGGCGAAGGTCCGGCGGATGGTAAGCCCAAGGCGAAAGGGGAAAGCCAAGGCCAAGGCAGCGCCGCGCGATGATGATGGGGGGCCATCAGTGAAGAAGGACGCCAAGCCAAAGAAGCCGCCGCCGGGCGCTTGGCGTCGTGGCGTTGGATTGATTGTACGATAGTAGGAGCCGGTGGTCAAGATAGTGGCAGTGGTCTCATCAGCCCTTCTCTGGACTGAGAAAGTACAACGTTGGTTGACACTGGTGTGACTTTTTCACTGGATTCTTTTTTCAGTTTAAAAGTTTTTCCTCAGATTGTGCCAGTCACACAGTCAAACGCCGAAACTGACCCACGTCAAAACTCAGTGTCACGTGTTTGCGTGACTGTGTGTGTGTGTTCCTCAGCTCCTCCTTAGCGTAGGCCCTTGTGAAAGCCTGTAGCAGTCGCTGTGTCACGCACACCAGAGAACCCACCGTGTCACGCATACCGCGTGCACTTCAACCATAGTTTGACAGGGCCCAGCGCCGCAACACGCGTGGAAACATGTGCGTTTCAAGCCTCAAAATGCTCCCACAAAGTGTGGAAAATTGTCCAAAAACATGTGGACATATGTGTGTTTATTTTTTCGAGATGTTCTTATAACATGTGGAAAATGCCCAAATACGTGTGGAAACATGTGTGTTTCAAGCCCCGAGATGCTCCCACAACATGTGGATAAATACCCAAATACATGTGGAAACATGTGTGTTTCAAGCCTCAAAATGCTCCCACAACATGTGGGAAAGTGCCCAAATGCATGTGGAAACATGTGTGTTTCAAGCTTCAAAGGATGTGGACAACTGCCCGAACACACGTGGAAACACGTGTGTGTTTCAAGCCTGAAACAGCTCCCAAACTTATGACGTTTCGCAAGTATAGAGTTGCACCCGATAGATACTTGGTGCCCCCCCCCAAAACAAAACCTTTTCTTTTTTATATAAGCACTTTGTATAAAGTCATTGTCCTTTTGAAGGGACCCGAACGTCAGGTTCCATGTCAATTGAGGGTACTTTAATTGGGAGTGGACGCGAAATCCATGCGCCACCTATATAAGACACCCTGGTTTCTGATGTGATGCCCCAACGTAAATGCCACCAAACAATGGCTTCAACCATGGTTTCAAAGTGGTGCATGAGTTTGTCCCGCCACTGAGCTCATAATTTAAGGACAGGAATCGGCCCTTTGTGGGTTCTCTCTTGGGATTGCCAATTCTTGGGGTCAGCTTGGGGGGTTTGTATCATGAAAGGAGTAAGTTTGGGTCGCAATCACCATTTAGAGGGTCCAGGTTCATTTTGTCAGCACCAATCAAGGCCTTTTCTGGAGACCCAAGAACAACAATGGCCCAGGCGCGTGCACTTCCACTTTCAGGGGAACCACACCAGGTGTTTTTTTCTTTCTCCCATCAGCCTAGTGCTTCACCGCACACTCAGATGGATTTGTGTTATGCACTTTATATACTTCTTGGGACCTATATACTTTGTTTAACCCACGTAAGTAGGTACCCTAGGTCACTAGCCGCTGAACTCATGTTTCAATATACGCAAGGAATTGGGACCCTTAAAAAGTGTCTTCCCTCTCTTGGGATTATGGATTAGGATTGGCCACCCTACATTTCGAACAGCCCAGTTTGTATACGTTTTGGGCAGACCAGTGGCGGGAGGCGCCCAAAAAGGTTTCTGTCAGTTTTTTTTGTGTTTTTTCTGGGTTGGTGAGTTGTTGTGGTAACTTACGCAGATGTGCGAACTCAGATTGTTGGCATTGTGGTTGGGCGAAACATGAAGATGGCAGTTCATACTAGGGAGTTCTGTGTGCCACGGGCAACAGACCCTGCTACTTCGAGTTATTTGGGCACGGGCAAAAGCAATGCTGGCATGGGACACGTGAAAATTGTTGTTCTAG